AAATAATTTCTAGTAAGTAAAAGACTGGACCACATCTATAGCTATATCACCGTTCATCGCCAGGAGATTGCACAGTCATCCCATAATATAAATCATTTGACCAGACTGCACTAGGTAGGTTATAGTCACCGAACATATACAAATTTTGTGTTGGGTACTTTTGACATATGTGTTCGACTGACCGACAATGCCAGTTGTACTTGTCCCGAGAAGAATGAGGAGGGATGTAGACACCAGAGCTGTTGTTCTGAGTATTTTAAATACTTGAAGTAAATACTTAAGTATTTGATTTAAGTACTAATCTAGACATTGGTACCTACTTGTACTTGCAATTTCAAGTTTTTCAAATTTTACTTGTACTTAATACTCAAAATATCAATCAAGTATATTTTACTTGAAAGCTTTTGAAAATTTGTACTTAAGTGATGTTAAATTACTTAAGTACCAGTGAAATTACTTGAAGAAAATATTTTCAATTGAAGTATTTTTAAATATTTCAAAATTTACTTGACGACTGAATAAAGTTTTGTCTATTCATCGCGTGACGTCATAAACACTCGCAAAAATTGCAAAACCTATTTAAATTGACGCAGCAATAGGTGTGAGAACGCAAAAACAATACGATAATGTCGATAATAGCTCTGTTCCAACTGACATGAGAAACGTTCTAGAACGGTAATTTTCAGTCGATCAATTCGTTTCTCAAGTAGGATAAAGGTTCAACTTAGATGGGCAACTAGAAATTACGGGTTCTGGAACGGTTCTCATGTCGGTTGGAACAGAGCTAATATAGGCAGCAAGAATCAGAAAACGCGCGCCAGTTTGTGCATATGACGTCACAGTGCTAGGAGTGGGAATTTTATACCACGGTATCTTCGCAACAGTTGGTCGTAGCCTGAAGCGGTTTGAAAATTTGTTGTTGGATTTTTATTTTCTGAAACTTTTATTTTTGGGTCACTCCCCCTTTAAGATTATCGATAGCAATAATTTAATTTGTTAGTTTAATTCGAACAATACTTGAAATAAAAAATATTTGAATTATTTTTTAAGTATTTCTACGTAAATGTCATTTCAAGTACGCAAGTTAAAGTAAATACTTAAACTTGACTCTGACTTTTGTGGAATTTAGTATTTCTACTTAAATTTGGACAATTCAAGTTAATTCACTTGATATTTTAAGTATTTCTTTCTGTACTTATACTTGTACTGGTACTTGATTCGTATTAAAAAGAAACTTGTACTTAATACTTAAGTAGGGGAAGTGTACCTAAAATGGAATAGTAGGTTCGTTCCAACCCCCCGTTTTCGTATCGTCATGAAACGGTTTCGGAACTGTTAGGATCGATTGCAGGCGCATGCGTTGACCTTGCACGGTTTTATCTTGGTACAGAAACAACGGGTAGTTGGAACGGTTTCATGATCGTTTTCGTAATGACGCCAGTTCAAATAACTTTAATCCTAAATTTGTTTGTTTGCAAATTAAAATAGAAGAATATAGGATTAGGATTACAAAATAATATATAAAAAAGGAGAATCGAACACCAACGCTGATTCATTATGAAGAATCTGAAATTGAATCCTTGCAAGCTGATAACATCAAAGATTAGCAAATAGCTGATAATAAATTTTGTACTTTTTTTCACTTGAAAAAATAAAAATGCTACAGTTTTATAAGTTAGATTGGAAATTGGTTGTTTAACAACAACATGAACAACAACAACAGGTGACAAAAATTGAATTACGCATGTCAGTCATGGATCAGTCCACGCGGTTCTTGCTTTCCACTCGGGATCGAAATGACGGTGCTAAAACCAGTTCTCGAACGATCCCAGGTTTGGTTGGAACGCCAACGAAACTGTACGGTAAACGATCATCTCTCGGTTGGAACGCGTTTAACCTATAGCGCATGACTGTGACCGTACATTGAACGGTTTTTGGCTGGGTTGGAACGAACCTAGTGTCCTAAAACGGGATACCCTAATTATTTTGTAGTAGATACAGCGCCATCTGTTGTGCAATTGACCTAATACTTCCTGTCGGTATATGAATAAGCTTTAGCAGTTTGACCAAAATCGTGACCGGTGCAATGCAGCTAGGTGAGTTTTTAATTTTTAAACATATTTTTTGTAAAAATATAGATCTACAAACATAAACTTTTTGTTTTTATGGCCAATGAAATGACGACGATAATTTTTTTAACAGTTGCTAGGACATAAATGATCACTTAACATGTGAAATTTTGAGGTTATATTCTGATATCGGAAACATGCAGGAATTGTTTATTTTACGTACTTAGATGTGTTGATAAAATGGGACGCGGCATGTGTTTCTAAAATGGGATGCATCCCATTTTAGAACCACAATGCTCGTGTTCAGTTTAAATATGAATAAATATGATTGCGGTGGACATTTGACACATGTCACAATTTACCAAATAGGCAGATTATTTGGAAAGGCCTTCTTAAGGGCTGCAACACTCAATAATGCAATTCATGGTTTTGAGAAAACTGGCTTATTTCCCGTCAATCGCCATGTTTTCACTGACGATATATTTATAGCTGCTGATCCCACTGATCAGCCAGAAAATGAATCAAGTTCAACGGAAGAGGTTTCACCAGAAAGAGAACAACCATTTCCAATCAGGCAACAAACACCACCTCCATCGACTTCATATTCGACTCAAACGTTGCCACAATCAAAAACCACTTATCTTAATGAGTCAGATGACAGCTTCTCCAGTGATGATGATGAGCCTCTGGCAAAAATTCTTCAAGAATGTGTTTCACCAAAAATGATTCTACCCAATGACATTCTACCATACCCAAAAGCAGCAGGAAGAAGACCTGTGAAAACTGCAAACAGAGGTAAAGCTGCCATCTTAACTAGCTCACCTTATAAGGATGAATTGAATGCCAGTCTAGAAGCGAAACGACTCAAACTGCCAACCAGTAAACTGCCATCATTGAAAGGAAAGGGACTATTGAAGGGAGAATCAGTAAAGAAAACCTCCAAACCACAGAAAAAAGGTTCAACTGAAAAGAAGACTGATGGAGCAACAAACAAGACTAGAAACCAAAAAGATGTGAGAAGGGAAGACAAAACCAAAGAAAAAAATACCAAAAAAAATACCAAAGAAAACAGTGACGATGAAGAAAATCCTGTATGCTTTTATTGCGAAGGTGATTTTCTAGGCAGCAAGCCTGGTGACCAGTGGATTCAGTGCAGTTCCTGCCAGAGATAGGTGCACGAAGCTTGCGGTCCATCAACCAACAAAACGCATTATTTTTCATTTGTGATCTGTGTTTGGAAATATAATCCCATTTTAGAAACACCACAGATCCCGTTTTAGATATATATGTTTCTAAAATGGGAAATTTGACTAGAGCAAGATTTTTTGTTTTTTCGTTTTTTATTTTATACTTGAGAATGTGATTTTTATTTTTTTAATAAAGTATTATTTGGTATATCCATCATGAGGGTTGTCAGTTATTTTCCACTTGAATTTTTTTTTTAAACCAAGTCCAAACCTTAAGTATCCCATTTTAAGTACACTTCCCCTACTTTTTCTTGGTACCTACAACACCTATCATAATATGTACGTTTACTTTGGTTTATTTCGCACTACAAACATTGCTTAACTCGGTTCGTGAATTCATCACATTTGATTTCGCGGTCTGAGAATTCATTATTTAGGTTACTCACGACCAAGACAATAATATCATATATGCGGCAAGCCACAGTTTTAAGAAGATCAGAAAGTTTAGTCCTCAGACCACCTACATTTTGAAAATAGATCTGTAATGGGGTAGTTACATGTTTTTTTGTTGTTGCCTTGTTTCTACTACAGGTAGGCCATTGCTTTTTACAATTATCTTCACGTGCAGTCTTTCTTCTATCCAGCAATGACTTTGCTTTCCTATAGGCCTTCTGCTGCATCAGAAATGTTTCATTGCTACGTTGAAACTATCACTCTTCCTGTATTGGCAAAGTATGCTAGAAATGTAATTCTTCAAGTTTAGGCAAACTCATCCTATTATGGTTTAGCAACACTTCTATAAGTTTCTGCTCGAAGTCACTCACCAACAAAGATATGCCCAAGTGAAAAAAGAAATTTCTAACAATCGTATTCACATTGCACTTATTGCAAAACCATTCACAATAAGATAAGATCACAAATCTCTTTTCCAAATTCTAGCCACGAAAGATTAATATAACAAGTGGCTCCAGCTCTCGTCCTAGATATTTTGATATTATTTACTAATAAATAAATTTAAAAAATTCCAATAATCTGAACTACATTTAAAAGCATTATTTTTTCTCTACATTATTTCTTGATCAGAAGTTTCTAGTAATCAAACACTATTTACTATTAATGAGATACTGAAATAAAATTCATTCGTATCTACATCATTTCCCAAAACTATCATAAACCTTATAAAAATGTAAGACCATTGCAGTTAAATACACGTAATTTTCAAGGTACCTAAATGTTAAGATTACAAAAAACAGAACCATGTATCATTTCAACAATCGTGTAATTCATTTTTTCTTTTACGTAATTATTATTATCCATCAACAATCATGCGTTTGACCAACTTAGTATCTAATATAGGTAGTCACCATATTTTTTTTTTTCGACCTTACTCTAATTTGAAACGGTGTTTTGGTGTAGAAAGGAGAACACAAAATAAATTGGCCAAAAACTAGTCATTATTTTTGAGATTTATTCATAAATATTTTAATTTTATCGACTAATGATTGGAAATTGATTAATTAAAATCACTCAGATATTCTATATATAAAAAAAAAACAATTTTAGTAATTATTAATTATTCATTTCATTTATTTTGCACACATATTATTGGCATTTTCAATTTACCAATTTATTCTAACATTAAATGAAACATTAAAACAAATACAAAGCACAAATAAAAACTATTTTCAAAACAGCAAAATTAATTTACAAAAAGTTTTAAAAACAATTTTTACCCCTACTCATACAAACACAAATAAATTAAAAAATCATTCAGTCAAAAGATCAATATTACTATACATTTCAATAGTGATAATCTGTGTTTAAACTGTAGTGACCATCAGCATGGGGAGCAGCCACATACAACTGTTTAGGAGCTTCAGCATACGCAAACTTTGGAGATTCTACTAAAACAGCTTTTCCTTTAGGTGTGTTATATTTACGCTCTTGCACATAAGAATAAGCAGCTTTTTGAGGTACTTGGTAAGCAATTGGAGATGAATGGTATTCTGGAACAGCTTGAGCATGGTGCTGTTCAGGTATGACATATTCGTGAATCTGTTTAGATGCTGGAAGGACGTATTCTTGGGGTAAGACATATTTTTGTTGAGGCAATACATATTTTTCCTGAGACAATTGATATTTTTCTTGTGGCAAAACATACTCATGTTGTGGCAAAACATATTCGTGTTGTGGCAAAACATATTTTTCCTGGGACAAAACATATTTTTCCTGGGGCAAAACATATTTGTGTTGAGGCAAAACATATTCTTGTTGTGGCAAAACATATTTTTCTTGGGACAATACATATTTTTGTTGAGGCAAAACATATTTTTCCTGTGCAACATACTCGGGGCTCCAATACTGTTCAGGTAAAGAAACTTTGGGATATTGAAGTTCGTTGTGAGCATAAGATGTGGGATATTCTTCGTGATGATCGGGCACGTTGATGACAAGTTCAGCTTTCGGAGCTTGCACATATTCTAGGGGTTTGGTGTAAACGTCACCTACTACAGCCTTTAGGTCACTGTAGTCTTCGTAGCCACCATCGTAGCTTTTGTATGCTACAGGTTCTTCTATGATGGTTGGGTGAGATTCGATGTGAGTAGCTGGAGTAGCAACTGCAACCTATTAATAGAAAAAAAAGTTAAAATATTGTTATTCATAATAGTATTTCTACCTCGGCATGTTCGTCAGCTCCTCCGTGACTTTCAACGCTGACACCATGGGCTCCAACTTTTTTTACGACAGCCCTGAAACCGTGTTCGTCAGCAACGTAATCTACAATTCTGGTGCTGCCATCGGGTTCCAAAAGGCTGTAGCTACCACGTACGGTACCTTCTTTATCTTTAGTTTCCCATTGAGATTTGTGGTCTCCGGTGTGTGGGTCTGATACGCCATACTCGTAAGCATAGGATTTTTCCTAAAAATAAACAATTGATTATTACTCCAATAAGTTTTTAAATGGGATATTGTAAATTAATTCTACGTTTAGCTTTAAATAACGATTGGCGTACTTACATAATTGTGGTATTTGTTAGCGTATTCACCATTGTAGCCAGCATATAATGCTCCTGCTTCGTATCCAGGTACCAATATCGATCCATAAGCACCAAATGCCCCAAAGGCAAGGCAAAATATCTAAGAAAGTGATAATTTTATTGAAAAATAGAAAATCTTCAAAGATTAATTGAAACAATTCGAAGTTTATTAGGTAAAGTTTCTTTATTTGGACAATTTAATGTACCTATTTGACGGAAATAATGAAGCGGCTTCCCTTTAAAAGACATGTGAAAGTCTATCAAGTTCATGATTATCAGCACATTATCGAATTAAACGTGGACAGATATTTTGATATTATTTAATGTAAGTGAGAAGCTTTACACTTTCGTTTTTTATGGGTTTATGATGGAACAGAGAGTCACATAAAAATAATAATGCTTTGAAACAATGGGCAGTTTATTAATTTTGATGAACTAATACCTACTTTCCAGAAATTGTTTACTACTAACAAAGGGTATATGTACATCATTTCTGCACTTATCTCAAGAACCAAGTGTAATCACGGGTGCGGAAATAATAGTATTATGAGAGTTGAGAATAGCGTATAGAAATAATTCAATTATCAAAATCCATAATTTTCTTAGAAAGTGAGACAATTTCTTCTTTGAAAAATGCAATAAAAAACACAAAGCTTCTGGAATATTAAACCTGATACTGTGAGTAAATTAAATTTGCATTAGGAGATGTTGTTTTATTCATGAATCATGGGATGATGAACTTCAAATAATTTTCAAAATTCATATGTCACTAATATAATCACAAAATAATCCATAATCATACTTCATCATTGCACTAATTATCACAAAACCAAAAATAAACTGTCTCGTAACAGAATATACTAACCAATGCTATCGACATTGCACTACAAAACAGAAATTTTCACGGTATATTGTGTAAAGAGGTGAAATGTAACTGAAACCCCAACTCTTAGACCGCTTTTATATATAGATTTGTCTTGGGTACCAAATAATTAACAAATTGATCCGGAGGTGCCTCTAATTTTTTGATAGTAAAGGCCTTCGAAAAGGCGTTCACAGTCAACCGGATGAAAAATTTGAGACACAAAATGACTCAGTGTTTTTTTTTCATTGGTTTGCGAACGTGAACTTGGTTTGGGTGCGGAATAATTTAGTTTTTTTACGAGCTAATTAATTAAACACGGAATTTGGATCGGTTTTGCGGAACCATATAAATATCGAGAAGGTTTGTGGGAAGTCTTGAAAAATGTTGCTTATGTAACGAGGGAGTTTGATTGATGAAACCACCAATTGTGGTTTACAGACTTCTTACCAGAACAAACAAATATTGTAGGTGAAGCGAACAAATTCTTACCAAAAGTGTGGAAAATTCACAATTTTTCTAGATCTTAGACCACTCAAAATAGCGCGAAAGTTTTAGTGGTTGGTCGAGCAGTTGAGTGCTGGAAAGACGCTTTCCAAATTAGTTAGAAACTAATTTGAGAGCCTGGAATAGATAAAAATTGAGACGACAATAATTTGAAAACAAAAAAAATAGAAAAATAGGAAAATTGGTAGAAAAATTCTTTATCTTTCTATTCCAGACAGATACATTTTCTTTATCAGGTAGGTATTATATTTTTTGAAAAACAAATCTAAGAGTGTGAAATAGCAGGAATGCCAGTTCGATTTGTATCAAAGGCTATTGTTATGGGGGGAGCTTCTGAAATTTGATCCTTATCTATTATTTCTTTTGATTTAACATTTTTTAATTACCATTATATTATTCATATAAAATTACCTCATATATTCCATAATGGGTGCATCTATTTAGATTTTATAGCTTTAACCTTTTTGGTCTCTCGACGACATTAATGGTTGATTCAGGTCAATAATAGCGGTCCTCATTTATTTCGATAATATTGCATTTTTATTCAAATTCAGTTAATTACTTTCGACAAAAATTAGGCATATAATGTTCTAATTAATTATTTTAATTTATTCCTATGAGATTTCAACGAAAATTGATTACATAAATCTAGAAACACCAAACACCTACAAAGACGCAAATTTGGATTTCAAGAATGCTAGTATTTTTGAATTGGAGGTCGCACTCTAAGTAAAGATCATGTATCTATTATTTCCTTGTTTTTTTCTTCTTCGGGTGATTAATTTCAGGCTAATTTCATTACTTAAATGAATTAATAGGTGGTAGTGTTACATTTGCATAGTTCATGCGAAGACCTTGTTCAAATACTTGCTATGTGCTGCTAGTTTTTATCAGTTCCCTTATATTGTTTTACAAATAAAAACAGAAAAATTACTTTTCATATTTTCTTCTCCATTTGAATCATTAAAGATTAAACTTTAACATGGTAGCAGAGTGTGGATACGGAGGCGAGAAAAAATTATGAACATCAAGGGCTGAATTAATTAGTACGAAAAAGTAGTCATTAAACTTTGAAGTAGGAGGATGAATCCGAGCAAAATTCATATAGGATTACTCGAAGGTAAAGCTAAGTGGACCACTTGAAGTACAAAATGAACATTCTGCTAAAAGGTAAGTGTTCCAAATGCAATCGATATTTTGGAAGGAATGTTGGTGCTTCCAGTTTTGAAAGAAAATGCGTCAGCAGTTGAAACGGCTGCGCATGAGGCAAGCGTGGTGAGTTTTAATAGCAGATTGTAATGCACATCTTTGACATATTTTTACTTAAATTTTTTAACTGTTTATCGGTGTCCATCAGGTAATTGTGACACCTTTTTAACATCCTTGGATGGGATGTTATCTCGCTTGGGCACGAACAAACAAACTATTTTAGCAGGAGACTTCAACATAGCACTTGGCAGTGAACATACCAACTTCCTACAAATGCGGAATGTACTGGAGAGTTTCAACATGAAACAAACAATATTTGAAGCAACAAGAGGTGAAAACTGTCTTGACAATATTTTTCTCGATCAAGTTACAGAGGTTAGTTTGGCTTAGGTTTTTGACTTGGGTTTTTCTTATCACCGAGGTCAGCGGGTTAATTTCATAGCAGAAACGAAGCGACAGCCTTCCTGGAAAATATAACAATGTCTAGACCTATAACACAAAGGGGTAAGTTTCAGTTTCACAATAAAATAAAATAAGTGAGGCGGATTGGGATTTTGTGAATGGGACATAATATGAATGTTGATGATAAATTTGCTGACTTCATGAATATACTTGAGAAAGCTTACTTGGACTCTTTTCCAGAAAAAATCTATAAAGCTAAATCAAATAATCCACAAAAAATAAATTGGTTTAATGAAGAATTGAAAACAATGCGTGAACAGTCGTGTTTTTTACATGATCTCAGTAAACAATATCAAAGTGAAGAAATTCCTCAAATGTATATAGAACTTAGAAGAAGGTACAAAGCCGAAATACGGACAGCAAGGCTTAAGTCTAATAATAATTACATTCAGACATCTAGTAATCCGTCGCGTGCTGTCTGGGAGATTATAAATTGCAAACGGAGTATTACAGAAAATAAGAAAAGTTCTGAAAACCATACAATCTCTCCTGATAAATTTAATCAATATTTTGCAGAAATTGCAAATAATCTAGTAAAAGATATTCCACCAATCAACTTACGTCTTCCTGATATGAAGTTGACCATCACAGGAAATAACTTTTCTTTTCCTCCAGTAACTTTCAACCAAATTAGAGACCCCATCAGTAACTTGAAAAATAAAAATAGCCGTGACCTATATGGACTGAATGTAAAACTTATTAAATCTGTAAAAAATATTATAATAAGCCCTCTTAATAAACTGATAAACCTATGCTTTCAAGAAGATACATTCCCTCACGTTCTTAAAAGAGCTGTTGTAACCCCCATTTTTAAAAAAGGTAACTCTCAATTACCTGAAAACTAGACCAATTCCACTACTGCCAATAATTTCAAAGTTAGTTGAAAGATGTATGTCTCTACAAATAGTTGACTTCTTTGAAAATAGTTATTATTTAATAATAATTACTTTTCCAACAGCCAATTTGGTTTTAGGGAAGGCAAGAATACAGTACTGGCCATCCTGGACCTAGTCTCATATATAATAGAATCTTTTCATAATCTTGAATTCACCTCGGTCTTGCTGTGTGACCTCAGCAAGGCTTTTGACTGTGTCGACCACGGCAAAAATTCAAAAACTATAACTTCTGCCCAGGAAGTATCAACTTAATACTATCCTATCTTTCAGACACAGTACAGTTAGTGACAATCTCTGGGGTGGACTCATCGGAACGAGTGATGAACATCGGTGTCCCACAGGGGTCTATGCTGGGTCCATTACTGTTTCTGGTGTATATTAATGATTTACCAGTCATTGACAACAAAGATAAGTACACACTATTCGCTGACGATACAACAGTGTCTTTGTCTGCGGACACTCTTGATGGGCTATGGAGATGTCCAGGGAGGCACGGGAAGGAGCCGAGGAGTGGTTTAGGATGAATAGACTGCTGCTAAATACCTACTGGAAAAACCCAACAAATTGAAAGAAGTTAGTTTTTTAGTTTTTTAGTTTTTGCTGATAATTGGGAACTCTACAAGCTATCTCTTCAGGAAACGATTGGTAGAGCAGACATTTCCACTCATAGTTGCTCAGGATGTGCTTAGAGAATGTGCATATAGATTTTGAAGATACAACAAAAACTTGCTCCTGCAAGGATTGATTGCGTGTATTTGAATTGCTGTAAACTCGCTATTTTCAAAAGATTATCTGCATCAGGCGTACCTATTCAGTTTCAGCCACAGTATCCGATACACATTTCAACTTTGGCAATCACCCAGGTGACATATGAAGGATCGTATTTCTACGAGCGTGCGCAAAGTAGTACTTTTCCGCACGCATTTCCTCCGTTTCTATATCATACAAACAACAAACACCATTTGATAGTTTTTTAATTTTTGTTATGGGATATGAAGCTCGTAGGAAAGATATTGTTCCCAACACTTCGCAAAATCTCCTTCCCGCACTTGAAGTCTTATCCGAACTCCGCTTCGCGTCGTTTGTCTAACTGCTTTGGCGTGCGGGAATGTACTACTTTGGGCACTTGTTAGGAAAATAACTATATATTTCCATTCTCAAATATTTTAAAAATATTCTGAGAAATAGGGTAGGTGACGAGGAGGCTTGAATCATTCAAGCTTATGAAAATAGAAAGAACCCTACTCAATTAAATAGATAACGAAGAAATTATAAAAGTCCTAGAGTAATTTTCTGTTTTACCAAAAAATTTAACTCCTACATTGCTAAGTGGGCCGCTTGACCCGAAATTTTCCCAAGCCGGTCTCACCGAGCCCATCCGTCCCTGCATATAATATCGAAACAAAAAATAAAAAGTACTCATGGAGATCAAAAAATGCGTAAGATCGATTTAAGGGAAAAAGAATCGATTATAATAAAAATCGATAGTGAAAAAAACGATTCAAAAAATCGATTAATCGTATCGAAAAAATCGATCTTCAGAAGTATCGATTAAAAATCGACATCCCTGGACTTCTTCTGCTACCGACCGCCATACTGAATAGACTAAGGGCGGGTATTATAAAACTGCCTTGACAGTTAACTTGAAGTTAACTTTTTGAATTGCATGTAATTTCAGAAGTTAACTTTAAGTTAACTCTCGAAGTAGTTTTATAATACCCGCCCTAAATTGCAAGTACTTAATTGTCATGAAACGATAAAACTTCACAGTGGCGAGGTTGTGCGAAAATTAAAAATTGAAAGGACGAGCATCAATTAAAAATGGCTTCGGCATCGATACAAAGATTCACCGAATTTTCCCAATATTATGACGACTGACAAATATATCCTGTTCACAATCCGATGTCCACAGGTGCAGGTAAATTTATCACCTTTCCCTATCAAATAGCATTAAAAGGTGATAAATTTTACCTGTACCTGTGGACATCGGATTGTGAACGGATAATATATGCTGAAAGGCTAGAACAGCATTTTACGGCAAATAGAATTAAAGAAAACGAAGATTCCCTGAAGGTAGCTATACTAATCAGTTCGTTATCTCCAGATACCTACAAATTACTGAGGAACCTCACACATTCACAATTGCCTGAATAAAAAACGTTCAACCAGCTGACCTCGTTACTGAAAAATCAATTTGTAACCAAAGCAATAATGTGTGGAGAGAAAGAAACAAATTTTAATTTTATAACGTTTGACAAGTTACAAGTTCCAAAAGGTTCAGTGGCAGAATGGTATGCCAAGCTAAAAAGTGCTGCCGTAAATTGTGCCTTTGGAGACAGATTGGCAGATATTCTTCGAAATCGCTTTATCACGGGAATGTGCCCGAATAAAGTACTGGACCGGCTGTGCGAAGAATCCCACGATGAAAGCTTGGAAAACCTCATCGTATTGGCCTCAAGAGTGGAAAGCATTGCGAAGGAAACACGTGAAAATATAAATTACACGTCAAATTTGCCGCTAAAAACCAATAGGAATTTTCCCATGCAGCAGCGCCACCAGCCGAGTTGGAAAGGAACCAAGCCAACGCCCAACAAGCGTCATCAACAGGAGGGGAGACGACAGAAACGTCAACGTCAAAATTTGAAATGTTAGGTATAGAACTCTGAGACAATAATGGTAATATCTCCAATGTCACAAATATCATCCCAGTTTAAGGAGAATAAATATTCATTTAAACCCTGATAGTTTCCGTTTTAAAAATCAAAATAAACATTCTCCACTCTAAGTGAATCTAACCCTATATTGCCTACTCTCAAATTACAGGAATAGGACGTATGATGAACAGAGTACAGAGTCACAAAAAAGCGGATCCTGAGACTTACAGCATTTCACGGAGTTGTCAAAGGTAAAAAGTAGATCGAGGAACACATTTCTGCTATTAGGTAGGTACATCAATCATCTGGTGCATATTATAAAAACCATAGGTACATTTGTGCAAGGTACATGGCATGGCTGGCGAATTCGATGGACACACTACTTGAACACCATTGATATCGTTCGACCATAGCACCCCAGGGATTTTATTCTCGAAACCGAGGAACAGCGTTCTGATGAGAACGATTGCTCTGTCATTGCCAGTGTTATGGAAATATGAATACGGACGACGAAGACAGAAGCTTCTTTCTCATGAGAACGCTGCTCTCCTGTTTCGAGAATAAAGTCCCTGGTAGATTAAAGTCACCCACTATGTAGACCTTTTGTACTGTGTGGAACATATTTCTTCGGCGGCCAGACAGTGAGCCCTATACTGATCCTCAGACGATCCTGGTAATATATATACACTACCGACCACAAATTTTGAACTAGAATATGTGCATGACAAAAATGATTGATCAAAGTGACTTTCAGTCTTCCAGATAATCGAAGCTTGTATATGACTTTTCACCAATATCAAATGCCTGGATTGACAGAGATGGTTGGAGATCGGGAATCCGAAGACGTAGAACGTTATAAACCGATAATTATATATATACCAATATCAATACAAATACACCACCTCCTCTGTTTTTTGTTGTTATTTGCATATTTATATCAGCTCTAAAGATATCATAATTGCCACAACAAAGTTTTTCTGAAAAGATGTCTTCATTCAGCCAGCTTTCCGTAATAACAATAACATCATAATTAGAACAACTTAGAATTAAGTTCAACTCCGCTAACTTGGTGCGAAGACTACCCACATTCTGATAGTAGGTACATTTGCAATGGGTTTTCGACTAGTTTTTTCCTGCTGGGTCCTTATTCTTGAAATAGGGGAGCAGCGTTCCCGGGAGAACAAGATATCCGTCTTTGTAACTTATATTATCATTTCCATATCATTGAGAAAGACAGAACACTCGTTCTCCCGGGAAAGCTGTTCCCCTGTTTCAAGAATAAGGACCCTCTGTATGGCGAGATTTATTACCTATCTGGTTGTCATTTTTCATCACTTTCGGACATCCACCGATAACCGAATGGTATAGCCATCATTTTCCTCCTCGTTTCTAGATTGAAGTTCAGTCAACACCTACTTAAACTGGTCTCTTTGCCTGGCAGTCTGATCTAAATTAATTTCATAATCTGATCCTGCCAGTTTTTTCTTGTTTTTTATTACTTGTTTAGGAAAATGGTCTGCAGGACCCTGTCTTTTTAACACTAATTCTTATCACTTTCTCAACTTTACTTAGCCCATCCTGGGCCACATTGATCCGTTCAAATACATCCTGCACAACTTTTTTTTCATCTTCAATCCTTTCTGTCAAACCTTCCTGATTTGACTCCTTTGCACCATAAAGTATTAGATTGCTGGCCCTCTTTGTTTTTTCCTGCATTTCATTGATCATCTGCCTCATATCCAGTTCCACTGGTTCATGTTTGCACTTTTGATTACTGGTCGCTTCCAATTCCTTCTTCAATACCTTAATTTCAAATTTCAGCTCACCAACCTGTCTTAAAAGGACTGGGATACACTCTTGAATGCTCCTCTGCGTGGTCTGCAAAAAAAACATCATTGATCGCTTTTGAATCACCACTGCCCGTACTTCTGATGCAATCAGACCAGTGCATGCTTCTGTATGGTGCATTATTATATGGCAGCTATCACAAACCACTATTTTAGAGCCATCTGGTATGGATGCATTACAAGTGTTGAGTGAGCTGAAAAAGAAGTGGAACAGAAAGTAAGATGATCCAGAGCTTGAAGACGACAGCGATCCACCAAAACGAGCGGTGAGAAGAAAAAAGAAAACTGTCAGCAATTTTGAATAATAAGACAAGCTGCTTTTGAATTTTATCCCTTGGCTACTTGATTTTGTACGTCAAATTAAGATAAGAGTGACAGAGCTTATTGATTGATTCATATCCTAATGAGTACTTACTTTGTCTTAACTTAACACACTTTTTTTCGAAGCTTACCAAAATGATTTTTCTCACAAATGCACTAGAAGAAAAAAAACAAGGGCATTTTTAACACTTTTTTATTTCAACAACAAAAGCAACCCTTATTATCTACCGGAACCATGTCCCCAATGTGTGGTCTTAACATAACTAGTACCACCTTCTCCTCCATGGCCCTCTTTACCGTGCTTTCCATAATGAGCAGGATGTTGGGCGTGACCTTCTCGGGTGACTACTGCCTGGAATCCGGTGTGCTTTCCCGAAGTGTATTCTACAATCCTTTTGGTACCATCTGGGTCGTGGATGGTGTAGCTACCCTTGACGTCATCGTGATCGCGGTGTTCTTCTTGGGATTTGTGGTCTTTGGTGTGGGGATCGTGGACGCCGTAGGCATAGTGGTATCCTGGGGCCTACAGAATTAAAGGTTTTCATGTACAAGTTTTTTTCAAATTTTTATTTACCTGGTGGTCTTCATCTTTACCACCGTCCTCGTGGCCATTGGGGTAGGCAAGAGCAGCAGTAATTGCAAGGGATACATACAAGACAACCTGTGAAAAAAAAAAATTAATATTAACCAAAATCAATGAGCAAACAATAAAATTTGCTTATTCACTACTTACTGTAAAAGTATTCATGTTTGTTTTAGTCCAATGACTTATTCAAATAATTTGCTTTTGCTAAGATACAGTGAGCTTTTATAGTAAAAACCTAATCACCGTTAAATGAAGTGAAGTAATCAAATTGTGGTAAGTAAATCAATTATTATGAAAAATAAGGACACCGCATTTGCATCACAAAATTTGGCACTTTGAGTACCTATCGCAATTTCGCTTCTCTGGTCGTTAGAATAGTATTAGTTGTTTATTTCTATGTTTATATCACATTTATTAAAAAATACTTGATGGCTGAATTTAATTTTGTAATACTTACTTACCTATGTTTGTCCATATTATAAATTTTTTATTATTAGAGGATGCTTGAAGCTTTGAGACAGGTATGGTATATAGTTATTTGAGATATTCCTCATGATTTCTGTTCATCAAAGAACTCACTATTCTATCCAATTATAGAACAAGTTATGATGTTCCCAAGTTTTCATGAATCCAAATCATAAGGTAGCTACGTACCTTAGTATGTACTAAAATTATGGAATACCAATTTCTTAGCTATCTTAGTACTAAAATTGTATTGGAGCATTTCAAAGTTTCTTGACTGATCCAATTTGTAAGTGTTATAGATATTCCATTTCAAAATTAGCAATTAACCGTTTCGCAAGATGTAAGGCATGAGAAGGGTGGAGAAGCTGTGGCATGAGCTTTGGAACCCTTGAAATAATAATCTTGGTGTTTTGCCTGCCAATTTGCTTTGTGTGAGTTATGCTGTCTTTGGCACCACGATTTTGCGGATTTTTCAGGATTCTCATTTGTTTCATTGGTATGTAATTTGAATAATGTAAATTCCACCTTTCTAATTGGGAAGCTTTTGCTCATCGATATGGCCTTTATAGAAGTCGAAGTTAAATCGATTGAGGAATGACGACACATATATTAACTTACATATCAATTAAAAAATGTATTATCCAAAAGAATAGAAAAAAACTGTAGAATCCTCTGATAAATAAGAACGAATCCCTCTTTTAATACAACATTTATTATCAATAATGCTGCTACTGTCACACCAAAAAGAGATTCTAATTTAGACCTCATTGAATTAAACATTAACAAAGTTTTAATTGAATTTATTATTCAGCTAAATTAATTTGACCCAAATTTCCCAATACGACTAACTAAAATTAATAAACCAATCAGAATTTTGTTAAAAAATACATACATATCCACAGGTAGAAAACGGAGATTGGTTATGAAAACTCCAAGAATAAAATATATCCTCAAGCTCAAGGCATGTACAAATATGGATAAACAGGTGAACAATGTTAGGGTCACGTTTAAGGATTGGCTTGATTGATCAATCATCTCTAACTGAATAAAAAATATTAAATAATTATTATTTAAGGGTTCAGAAAGAAGCAAAAATACACTTATTTATGTATCTATTTAAGTGTTACCTAGATTTTAATTACTTTACTATTAGGTATTTGCAAACAGTTGACCGCTGACTGAAACCTACTTTTTACACCAGTTAAGACATGATTTCATATTTGAACTTCATTGTTTTACTGGGTGATTAACGGTTTCTAATTGCCTAATATTAAAACATTTTGTAAAAGGTAAAAAACTTGTAAGAAGTAACAAAACAATAAAGTAATTGTCACAACAATAATAATTGTATGTGACACACTATTTAGTTTCAAATTTGAGTAAAAATAATTGGTCAAATTTGAACTTAATCTTCAATAGGAAGTATAATTTTGTCCTTCAATTCTTCATATTTCTAAACCCAATGTCCACTAAATAACCCCAAAATTTTGCATCGCATGCTCTGCTACCACTGTCCGTGCAATAATTCCATTGAAACCTACAAGAATGTCCCTTGGGGCACTTGAAAGTCGCACAAATTTTTTCCCTTTACAATAGTAGCCAAAATCGAATTACAATTATCTTTTTCAAAGTCTTTCAATTTTCGTAAATAGTTTATCTTTGGGGCACCTAGTTTGCGAAAGACACGCAACTTGTGCCTTTTGGCTTCGGCCTCTTTTTCTAAATTTTCGAACGGTCGTTGGGTATACCTAAGGGGAATATATAATCATTCCGAGCCCAGGTAGAAATTATTATTTTGTGGTTTATTAAAATCGAGAGAATGTCAACCAACTTTAACCTTAGAGGGTTTTAGTTACCTTACCTACAAATTAATTTTTGTTATACCCTATAACGATAATGATAATTATTGTCTTTCAGTAACATGGTTTTATTTTGGGTAAATTTAGGTTGCTTACTATGCAATTTTTATCAATTGAGTTCATTATTGTGTTTATTCTCCACTTGAAGCGGAAATTTTGATGCAGGCTATAGTAAAATTTCATTTATTAGTAAGTTGTACTCCGGTCCTGAAAACACGGGTTATAGACACGTACACCTTGAGTATTTCAATACGTCCCCCAGGGGGACGTATTTCAAAAATTCTTTAAAAAAACCCCGCAAAAACGATTATCCACGTACGAACGGTCGGAGCCAACGAAACGAAATGATATTTATTTTTCTTCAAAACGAAAGAAAACGCCTCAAAAATTGTCGTAATTTGGCAGAGGGGTAATTTCGTCAGCAATTGGCATGTAAATATATTTCGTCTGACTAAAAGTAAAAGTATGATGGAGGCGTTTTGGAGGAAAATTTGAAGACCTAAATTAAACCGCAAAAATAAGGGTAGCCAAAAGCCTAAACCTTGTAACGTAATTTTCGATATTGTTCATAATAAAGGATGAAGGTTCCATGACGTTGCACCTTTTTTTTCACGAGAGGGTGGTGGTCTTAGGTAAAAAATCTTGATTGCAAAACGGATGTGCCAATGTTTTTTCAATATGATTTTTTTCTGTATCTGTTTTTTTCTTAACCGGAAACTAACACTTGGGTTTGAGCTGATGGGGAAATTTTGATATAACAAAACTATTTGATGAAATGGTTATATTTATACTAAAGGTACGTTTACTGAAACAAGTGTGGCAGGAATTTTTGGTATCTATAAATAAGCCGGTGAAACACTAGATTCTCTGCTGCTTTTCTTCGATTTTGAAAAGGTATTCATGCCGAGATAGCACACTTTTGTCACCGGTGGTAATGGTATAGGTAGTTCCGTGTTACGTGTATTCGGATGTCCTTCATTCTAGGGAGTTTTTTCTTCTTTGAGAAAGGCACTACGGTGGTTTTATTTTATCTCCAGTCTCACTTTTTGTTACCATTCCTCCGTTGCTTTAATTCCAGTCTGTATGAATTCACACAGGGTTCCCTGCTCGAACTTTTTTTTTGCTATGATCACGATGTCATCGACATATCCAACGCAGTGCAACCCAGGTGGTTCAGTATTCCTTTCTTGTAGATCAGAACAAATATTACAGCATTCTCCCCAATCTTTGGGTAGATGTTCCTCTGTTATAGGCACTTATATTGAATAGTTTCACTAGTTCTTGTCTCGTCTTACTCAGTATCGCTTTCCTTGAGTATTTCAGGCAGAATGTTGTCTTCTCCTGCCGCTTTACCATTTTTCATTTGGGATAACCCTTTCTCCAATTCTTGCATATTTATGTTGGGCATTTCTTCTGAGTTTTCATTTACTATTCGTAATTTGTCTTCTCTTGTCCTTGTGTTTGCTATTTTAGATTCGTACAGATCTCTATAGAAAGATTCCACAACTTTTATTATCTGTTGTCTGTCTTCTACTATGTTGTTTTTCGCATCTTTTATTTTTGTTATTTCTTTCTTAGGTGTGTTATGTCTTTTAAATATACCTATTTAGTCCTTTGTTCTGTTCTAATAGGGATTGCACTTGTTTCGTTTGATGTTTTAGTATATCCTGACTACTAGAGTACGCGTCAGCAGTAAAGAGTACGGTGACGACACGGAAAGCTGCGCGAAGCGGGTCGGATCTCTCTCCCTCATCTATCTTTCGCTGTCTGCAGTGACCTCGGCCGTGAGCTGAAACCAGCAGCGGGGTATCTTTTTAGACAAAACTTGGATAGAAAATAAACTAAATTAATATGCCTGCTGACCGTACGACAATGAACCACGTGCTTGGCGTTCGGCAGCAGCACCGAACAATACGATAGTTCGGTTAGTCTTCAAAATTGGGTTTGTGCGCATTAGACGTCACCGTACTCTTTACTCTTGACGCGGACTCTAGTTGAAGCAAAAACAACGTTTAACAATCAAGGGTTTAACGTCACATCTCTAGTTAACCAGTAGTTGAATTAACTCAAAGATCCGTGTTTACTATGAGTTAGCTAAAAGTAAGAATTAGCTTAGTAATACTACGTTTCTATTGCAGTTTCAATTTTTTATGGTATTCTGTTCTGTTTTATAAGATGACGTGTGTAATTCCATACACTCTAAGTACATTTTCTTTTCTGTTTTAATACTTCTCTTTAGTTTAAAATGCATGATTAGGAAGGTACTACTATTACGAGATACGTGTAGTATAGTATAGACGTAGAATTGAGTATTTAGGCCAAAAGTTAACCATTTCCAGGAATACCATGACCATGTGCATTGTGCATTATGATTTAGGCCCCAGGACCATTGGAAATCTTCTTAACTCTGAACAGTTCTGGATAGAATGAATTAAGAACCACATTGGACATTCGTGTGTTCCAAATTAGGTATTATTAGTAAAAGTGGGTTTAGCTTACTCCTAATGGATAATGCACCACAATAACTCATAATTGATAATATGTAATTCATAACGCGAAATGCATAAGAAAATAGAGGTGTTTATGCAACGCATAATTTTTTTGCATTAAGAATTGACAAGACATCTTCAGTTTGCCACTTATTATTTTTCATGATAAGTAGCTATTTACATTACAAGTGCGTTTTTGAGCATGATTACAATAATGAGATTAAGATTAGAACGACGAGGTCGTAGACCGCGTCGTTCTAATCACACGAGTTTTGTAGTCATGTTTAAACGCACGTGTGATGGACAAAGTTTTATCTACAAAGCGAAAAATAGAAACTGTTTCGTTTCG